CCCAACTCTGTTCCTCACCTCACAGAGTATTCGGGGTCTATCTTTCCTCTCGGCCAGTCTTTTAGATCTCCTTCGTTCGACTACTCGGATACAGCTTATGACTATGAAATAGTATCGACTTTTAACACTCCATGCTTAATTAAGAAAAAGAATCTCCGAATTTAATTTACGTCCATGTCAGATAGGAATGAGACAGGAAAATTCGCGTAAAGTGCCTTTCCCAAGGAAAAAAAAACTTCGACAAAGCTGAGACTCGAACCCCCGAACCTGCAATATTACGTACAGATCTGGCGGGCCAAACTAGCTTATAATGGCTGTACACGCTTTACTCCCCAATGACGTAAAACATTAAGGTAGCAGGCTGCTTTAATTCTGCCGCCCATGGTGTGATTGAGTGCAAACATTCTACCCTTCCCTCCGTTGCCGTATTTTAAAATGTAGATCATTTATTTAGAAGCTAAATAGTAAGATAGAGAAGGTGGAAAAGGCCGAATAACAAACAGAAGTAAAATAACAAAAAGTTGAGATGTAAAAAAACACACTGGTGGGTAAAGAAAGACAGATGGGAGGACACACTTATACATGGCTAGAAATATTATACCTATTTGTACACATACAGGCAAGAACAGATACATGTAAACAGATAGACAGAATAGACAGAATACAGAATAGACACTCTATCATAATCTATCAAGGCTACATCGAACGCTTGCGCTCGATAAACCCTTCATATTCGAACATCCCGTAACTTGGAGAACTAACCAAAGTTCGAGTAACTCCTCGATCAGCCACCTTTTCACTTCCTCGGAACTTCCTCTCCCATTCTCCCTCCCTCGAAACTTACTCCTTAACCCTCGCCCCTCTCCATCTCTCCACCCTCCCCCCTTCCCATCAGTCTTTTTCCTTTCTTCCCCCGGACACCGATCCATTCGTTCCTTTTCTCGCGCCTCCTTCTCTCCATCAGCAGATAAGCTCGGTCGGAAAACGCTCTTCACTAGCGTCATTCTAGACCTATCTCCCGCCAGCCATTCTCATTTCTTGGAGCCAGGCTCTCGCTCACAGACAGGAAGTGGAGACACGCGAAGCATAATCTGCTCTGTCTGTCTGTCTGCGCGCGCGTGTGTGTGTGTGTGTGTATGTGAGTGAGCATCTGCGAGAAGCAGCATCACCAGCCGTTTTTCCAACACGGTTTTGCTTCGACAGTGACCGCCCTCGTCTTTGTGTGTATGTGATCTGCGAGCAGAAGATCGTTTCGTGGATATTGCCTCTGTGTTCATAAAGGAAAAGTTTGTGATGTAAATACAGGAGAAGCTTGTAATATAAATGATTATATTCCCTGAGCATCTGATGCAGTGCTGGGAGACTTCTTGATGATGTACCAGTGCCACTAGCAGCAGCTTTACCTGGACAGTTTTTTTTCTCTAAGATTCCTCAGGTACGAGTACGGGTAATGTTCTGTCTTTTTATGTGGTTTACTGCAAAAATAAAATGTGGACTCATTATCTATTAGAATGTATCTGTTAACTTTATATCTATTAACTTTTTGTGAACACCTATTTATTTATCTAGAACTAGATTAGATCTAGCCATATATTAATTATATTCAGTGACACATTTTTTCACAACTTGTATAGATCTCTCTCTCTCTCTCTCTCTCTCTCTCTC